ATAATGGCAATACTGCTCGGCGTGCCTTTAGTAACCCCAAACTCTTCGCAGAGATCACTGGCATTGACGTCAAGCTGATTTCAAATCTGAGGACAATCTTGATATGTCTCTCAAGTCAGTTGCCTTTAAATGTGGTCAAATACCAAACATTTTGTTTTAATACTGCGGGAAACAATTATTTACCTGTATCCTTGGCTGCCGATGACTGCCACCGTTCACAAAATTCTTGTCCATTCAAAAGAAATCATTGAAAACACTGTGCTACCTGTGGGATATTTTGCAAGAGGAGGGTGCAGAATGTAGAAACAAAATTTATAAGTCGGATCGACTTCATCATGCTAGAAAGATCAGCCGAAGAGAAAATTTCACGGACGTGTACCAAAGGTCTATGGATACCTCAGATCCGATAATTTCATCTATTAACCTCGTCAGGCGAATACAATTGCAACAAAAAAAACCCTTACCAACTGAGGTTTTAAATCTTTTGTCAAGCGAATTTAATAGTTCAGGCAGAGTTGAAAAAGATTCAATTAGTTTCGATGAGCTTGCTGAAGACCAGTTCGAATTCGGAAGTTGGAACATGGACCTCGAAAACGAATTCCAAGAGGATTCTACACAGGTGTGACAGTAAACATATTATTTACAATAAAATGTTAATTTCTTGTATATTACAGGTCTCCTAGTAACAATTTTGAAGAAAACTACATGTAAAAATAATTGTTGCTTGTTGTTAATTATTTTTAGTGTGTGCCAAGCCATCGCTTAATATGCTCCCATAATTTTTGTTTATTAAATGTTGAAGAAAAAGCGTAAAAATTAAATTTTTCTACGGAAAAAAGGCGGTGCCACGCCCATTTTTCCAACAAACCTTCCTTTCACTATTATAAACTCATATCAAAAAACTAAATCAAAAAATATTGTTTCGTTTGGAAGTTATTAATTAATGCCACAAAAAGTGGTCAAATGCCCCATAGTGCAGTGTCCAAGCAAATTTAGAAGCGAAGATCCAGCTAAAAATAGGGCAGAAGTGATCAACAGGGAAGGGGTACGTACCGAGTCAGGCTTACGCTCCAGGGGAAAGCTCTGAGGGATTTGCCAGGCTAAAAAACGTTTCTCCATCCTGCGGAGAGGGGCGGAGGGGTCACCCACACACAGCTCCTCGCTCTTTCTTAGCCGGGCCAACAACAATTGACAATTTTCCACGCGCAATTTTGTATTGTTTGCTCTTCGCGACGGCACAAGCAGCTGACTGATCAGTCAGTGTTGGAAAGCGCACAAGTCCTCCAGCTGGCAATATCGGCTACCACTTCATCGTAGCAAGCAGCAGCTGTCAGGGAGCAAGATTTGCACGATCCTGCAGAGTCTTGCATACCCATAGGCTGAGCGCGAGGCAGGCACGGGAGTGCATACTTCGAGGCTTATCAAGGCAGCACAGGGGCGCGAGGGAAAGGTCACGGAACCGACCACTCTCCGATCCCCCGCTCAGACGGTGTTCCGGTCAACGGAACGTAAGGGACCGTGGAGGGGCGGTACATCCCCCATCATCAATACGCCAAGGGGAAATCCGAGGCCTGCGCGGGAGCCTCCTAGTGCAGACCGAGAAGCGAGAAATGGAGGAAGGAAACCCCTTCGTGGGTAGTTCGGCACTGGCAAGATCGCCACGCCAACTGCCGGATAGGGAGCCAGAGGAGGCCGCATTGGCATTCGGGAAGGGCAGTAATCTCAGCCGATCGCCAGCACCCTCGCCAACCCCACCAACGGGTCAGAGCATGTACTCGGACTCCAAGGAGACCCCTAAGAGGACTCGGGACCCACTTAGCCCAGCTAGCTCGCAGAGAAAGACGCCGCCCAAGAAAAGCAAGGCCACACAGGACGCAACCTGCCTCGAGAACCTCTCGGAGCTAGGGAAACTCCTGGACGAGGTGACGATCAGGATGATGAACAAAACCTCGCGCCACATCACCATTGCCACGAGGGCAATGTTCGTGCGCATGAAGGAGCTGCACTCGAGCATCCAGGAGGAGAGACGAGCAGCCACATCGAATGGAGACGACGGGCATCAAGGCCACGTAGTCGAAGCCTTGTGCGCAAAATGCTTACAGAGGACGCAGAGCGAGGACAAGGGCAGCAGACGGCAACCGTCTGGACAAAAAATGCCGCAGCGCAGACCGAGCCGTGGCGAAGGCTAAGCCAGCCGACCGGAGCGGAAGCAACGGCAGCGGAGCCGAGTTCGCCACTCACGGGTACAGCCCAGCTGCATGGCGCCAGAGCACCCAAGAGGGCCGGGAGGAAGCCCCAAATGCGGCCGCAAGAAGAGGAGACGACCCATAGTGCCATCAGTAAGTCCGTGACCAACGGACATCCGGACAAAGGATGGTCCGTAGTGGCAAAAAAGCCGAGGACAGTACGCCGCGTACGTCCCGACGCGGTCATCGTGCAGGCGTGCGGAAAATCCTACAGTGAGGTGCTGGCAATGGTGACTAAGAGGGAGGACAAGCAGCTGTCGGACCTAGCGAGCTGCGTTACAAAGGTACGCCGTACACAAAACGGCAACCTTCTGCTGGAGGTGGCTAAAGGCAGTGCTGAGAGCGCTGAGTCTATGAGAGAGAGCATCGTGCGGGTCCTCAGTGACGCTGCGTCAGTGCGGGCGGCGACGGAGGACAACAAGGTGGCCGTGCTGGAGATACGCGATCTCGACTCCCTCGCGACGGAGCGTGAGATCTGCGCCGCCCTCGCGAGCCAGTTTGGAATTGTCGAGGGACGAGTCAGAGTGAGGAGACTACGCCGTGGCTATGCAGAGTCACAGACGGCAGTGATCAGCTTACCCTTCTCCATGGGCAAAGCAGTTCTACAGTGCGGTGAGGTGCGGGATCGGCTGGACCGTCTGCAAGATACGGGAAAGAGAAGGCCCCCAAGGTGCTTCAGATGCTTGGAGCCAGGGCATATTGCAAGCAACTGCAAGAGCACGGCTGACAGGAGCGGATGCTGCATTAAATGCGGACAACAGGGACACAAGGCAGCAGAGTGCAGCAATGAGCCATTGTGCTTCATCTGCTCGACAGCTGGTAAGAAGGAGGTCAGGCATCAGGCCGGCAGCAGAAGCTGTCCAGCCCTAAGTAGCAGGGTCGGAAACGCCAGACCGACATGCGGGTAATCCAGCTGAACCTGAACCACTGCAGAGCTGCGCAGGATCTCCTGGCGCAGACGGTGAGGGAATGTGGATCGGACCTGACCATGCTTAGCGAACCGTACAAAGCATGCGACACCGGGCACTGGGCCCCAGACTCGTCTGGGAAGGCATCCCTGTGGGCCTGCGGAAGCGACATCCCCAAGCTCTGCAACATCAAGGCAGGAAACGGGTACGTGCGTGCGAAAGTTGGGAACTTGTGGACCTACAGCTGCTATCTAGCGCCCAGTCTACCCCTCGATTCCTTCAACCGGATCATCGAGGAAATTGTCGACGATGCACGGAGCCATACAAACGTACTGATCGCCGGGGATTTCAATGCGTGGGCACAGGAGTGGGGCTGCCAATCCACCAACGCAAGAGGCCGTTCCCTATTAGAAGCGTTTGCATCGCTGGACCTAGCTTTGCTGAACGAAGGCACCCAGCAAACATTCAGCAGGGCGAGCGGAGGCTCCATCATAGATCTCACGTTCTCGAGCCCGTCGCTCTCACGCGAAGCTAGGTGGCAAATGGCAAATGTGTACACAGGAAGCGACCACGAAGCCATACTGTGCACCATCGGAGAGCGCCTCAGACCCAGCAGAACATACTGCAGGAGCAAGGCCTACATCGAGGACACGCTCGACACCAGAGCGATCGCCAGGTGCCTGGAGTCGTGGCATGCCACACTCGATGCAAGCGCCAACGAGGCAGCCAACCTTCTCGCCACGAGAATGGAGGAGGCCTGCGACTCGAGCATGAGGCAGCGTAAGCCGTTCACGAGGCACCACGAGCCGATTGCCTGGTGGACCCCGGAAATCGCACGACTCCGGACAATGTGCATGAAGGCCAGGCGAGCAATGCAGAGAGCGAGACGTACGGCCCGACTCGACTCGGCACTGGAAGAGTACGGGTCCGCCAGGAAAGCCCTGAAAAAGGCGATACGAAGCAGCAAACGCGAATGTTTCCTCAAGCTCTGCGAGCCGGCGGATAAAGAGCCCTGGGGCAGGGCCTACAAGCTCGTGGCGAAGAAGCTCTGTGCAGGGAGCAAGGCGCCAACTGAACCCGACGCGCTCGAGGCCATAGTGCCCGCATTATTCCCAAGCGCGCAGCATACGGGGCTAAAACCGAGGATACGCCCTGGTCCGTTCACGGTCATAGTGAAGGTCACGGAAGAAGAGGTGCTGGAAGCCGGGAGGAGCCTACACAGGAAAAAAGCCCCTGGCCCCGACGCAATCCCAAACCGAGCGCTGAAAGTTGCACTAGCACTACAGACATCTGCCTTCGTGGAGGTCTTCAACAAGTGCCTCGAAGAAGGTACCTTCCCAGGAAGAGGCAGAAACTGCTGCTGCTAAACAAGCCAGGTAAGCCACCAGTAGAGCCTTCGTCATACCGACCAATCTGCCTCCTGGACAGCGTCGGTAAGGTGTGCGAAAGACTTATAGCACGCAGGCTTAATCGAGCAATTGAAGAATCGGGAGGCCTATCGGCAAACCAGTACGGCTTCCGCAAAGACAGGTCGACGCTGGACGCCATCGACAAGATTGTGACCATAGCGGAAAGAGCCATCAGCGGCATACGATGGAAAGGAGGCAGTAAGCAGTATTGCTTGCTGGTCACCCTGGACATCAAGAATGCGTTTAACACGGCAAGCTGGGCAAGAACGTTGGAGGCGCTACGGACGGTAGGCATACCGGACTACCTCCTCTGCGTGATAGACAGCTACCTCAGCGACAGGGTGTTGTCGTACGAGACGAGCGAGGGAACGAAAAGGTACGAAGTCTCAGCTGGAGTGCCCCAGGGATCAGTGCTAGGGTCGCTCCTGTAGAACACTATGTACGATGGAGTCCTCCGACTGAACCTACCAGAAGGCACTACGATAGTAGGGTTCGCCGACGATGCGGCCATCGCAGTAGTGGCCAAGGACCTCGTAGCAACGGAAGCAGCGGCCAACGAGGCTATTCGAGCCGTGGAGACGTGGCTCGACCTAGCGGGACTGCAGCTGGCAGCGCACAAGACGGAGGCCGTCTTGTTCAGCAGCAGGAAGAAGGTGGTCTCCAGCTACATGCGAGGTGCCGAGGCAACGCATCGACTCTGCGCCATCAGGATTGCCTGCGCGCTTAAAACGGTCTCCGACGACGCAGCCCTTGTCATTGCGGGACTGATCCCGATTGTGGAGCAGGCAAGGAAAAGAGCAGCGGCGCATGAGCTGACCCTAGCAGGACAGGTCGATACGAGAGAGGCGAGGGAAGCACGAAGGCAGGAGAGCATCCGCAGATGGCAGGCGAAGTGGGACTCCTCAACGAAAGGTCGCTGGACCCATAAATTGATTCCCGACCTTAAGGCGTGGATAGATCGGAAGAACGGTCAGGTTGACTTCCACCTGACCCAAATCCTCAGCGGTCACGGCTGCTTCCGGTCATACCTGAAGCGCTTTGGGCATGAAACCGAAGACTGGTGCCCAGCTTGCGGCCGAGGCATAGAGGAGGACGCCCACCACGTTTTTTTCGAGTGACATCGCTTCACGCACGAGAGGCATAGGCTGGAGGTGGCACTAGGCACCAGAGTCAGCGCAGAGGGATTAGTCCGCCTGATGGTCTCGGACCCTGAGGCATGGGACGCCATAGCGCAGTTTGCTGCTGGCATCATGCGGGAGTTCCGAGGAGCAGAAAGAGAAAGGAGAGCGACGGTGGATTAAGGAGGAGCGGCTGTGCGAAGCAATGCTTTGCGGCGGTACCGTACAGCATCGCCCCTTCTTCCTACAATCGCCACCATCTACATAGTAGTATAGTTTAGATAAATAGTTAAGTAAGTTATTAAATAAAACCTGAATACAAAAACATACCGGCACATTAGGAGCAGTAATTCCGGGACTCTTTTGTCTGCAGATTCGTTGGGGTGCAAGTACATTTGTTGTTACAGTGGCGCAAAGTGATACAATTTTGATTAAATATTGAATCGTGAGGTGTTGTGAGAATTGCCGATTACTGAATCGAGCAACTAAACTTAAACGTTAAGGGCAACATGTTCCTTACTTATGCCAATAACAATTTGTGAAAGGTAACAAATGGCACCAAAAAAGAATGTTTGATCGAGGAGAGTTTTCCTCAATATAGTTGTTCAAGAATAGGGGTGTGTCAATCTCCAGTGAGCTAATTATACTCGATGCGAAGAAATTTGCTGCAATCCAAGAATAATACGAAAGTCGAGGGGGTTCAGTAGGCTGGGCCAAAAAATTTGATTTTTCGAAATTCAAACGGGAAACCCTCTAGTTTTGTTACCTTGCATTTAATAGTAATTAACATGTTGTTATTTTTATTTTTTTTATTTTTTAGAGGTTGCTACCGAATTAAAAAAAAAAATTTTAATCAAGAAATTAAAAAAAAAAATTTTTTCCTGAATGAGTTGGATAATTGTTGAAATCTATTGCATATATATTCACCGATAGAAAAAAGCCCTGAAATTTTAATATTTTCACTTAGATTTTAATATTTATGCTATTGATTTTCATCCAAAAGTGGTTGTATTAAAATTGAATATTTTTCACTTAAACTTTGATATTAAAATGAAAATATTTAAGTTGAATATATTTCATATTTAAATTTAATATATTTCATATTTAAATTTAATATATTTTCATATTTAAATTTAATATGTTTCATATTTAAATTTATTATGTTTAATATTTAAATCTAATATCTTTTATATTTAATTTAAAAATATTTTATGCCTAAATTTAATATGTTTCATATTTATATTGAGTATATTTTATTTTTTAAACTAATCGAATATTATTTTGCCTACGCGGACTACATTTCAAGTCCTCATGGAGTGAGATTCACAAGTTAAAGTTTGCAACTTAGAAATAATCGCAACATGAGTAGAACTGCATTTTTTGTGATTATGGCCCTGCGCAAAGATAATTTAAACTGTGTATTCAAGGCTGCAGCAGCGTGAACCAGTTGGGAATTCGGAGGACATAAAAAAAATAATATAAACATATTTAAAATAAATACAAAAAATATTTAATTTAATTTAATATAGAATATTTAAAATAAAAAGTTTTCCACTTGATTTTAAAACAAAAATGTTGAAATCAAGTCATAATAATATTCAATTTAAATATGAAACATATTAAACTACAAATTTAATATATTATATTTATTTTAAAGTTTTTTGTATTTAGATTAAATATGACCGTATTAAAAAAGCCATTTTAATAAAATTATATTTGAATCAAAGTGAATTCTATTTAATTTTACTATCTTTTTAAATTTTAAATTCAAATATGATTGTAGTTATTTTTACTATGCCTTTTTCCTATCAGTGTTGTTACCATTCATATCGTCATTAATCAGTTATTGGCAGTAAGAAACCTGCACAAGTTTTTGCGAACTAGTTAACTAAATATATCAACCTCAACTGAACTTCTTGATTTTCACCAATCGTTAATTTTTTAACAGTAACTAAACAAAAAAAAAAAATAAAAATACCTTATTATCAATATGAACTAGTTTCTAAGTTTCAATATTAATGGAAAAAACCGACGAATTCAATTTTTTTTTAATGTATATTTACCCGAAAAATTTTTATTTTCTTTCCGTGGTAGCAACCCCCCAAACATTAAACTAAAAATTTGAAAAAATTGTATAATTTTATTGAATAACAAAGAACAGAATAGGGGGACGTCCCTGAAAAAAAAAAAATGGTTGGTCAAATTTTGGCACAGCCTAGGGTTCAGTTTAGTACTAGCCAATAACTATTTATTCGGTTTCTAAGTGCATAAGCACTGAGCATAAGCGGGCTTCTAATGTGGTGAATTCGATTACAAATTTAATGCAAGAGCGTAACAAAAAGAGGTAGAATGAGCGTAAGGTACTACAACGCGATTGTCATTTAAGTGATTATTATATTATATTATGACATTAAGAGTTTGACCGAACATCCCGGCCCCGTTGAAAGGATTGCTTTCAAACTACAGGAAAAATTGCCAACTTGTGTACTGGCCTGCAGCATGTTCCATTCGCGGTGCGGAGGTGCACCACGCGTACACGACCATCCCTTCCGAGCACTGGAGACTGCACTCGGCCTAGTTTCCAGCGTAGTGGGGGTTGTCCTCATGAATGATGACCATTGTGCCCTCAGTAAGATTCGTTAAGGGTGCTGTCCATTTCGTGCGAGATCGCAATTCGTTGCCGTAATCCATAGACCATTGCTGCCAAAACCGTTGCTTGACGGCGGTGATCATGTCGTAGCGGTCCAAATTTGACAACTTGACGTTTTCGAGGGACCTTTCAGGCAACGAACGCAATGATTCGCCAACCAAGAGGTGACCAGCCGTAAGAGCGTTGAAGTCGTTCGGGTCTGACGAGAGTGGCGATATCGGGCGCGAGTTAAGAATCGCATCTAGCTCCACTACGACGGTGCTCAGTTCTTCAAACGTAAACCTTGTGTTTGCCAATGTTCGATTCAAGAGTCCCTTCGCACTCTTGACGGCTGCTTCCCAAAGGCCTGCGAAGTGAGGTGCCCTGGGAGGAATAAAGTGGAAATTAATAAAATCTGTGGCGCAAAATTTATAAATTTCATCTTGGGTCTCCTTTTGAGTTCAAGCAGTTGATTTGATGCCCCGACAAAATTAGTGGCATTATCGCAGAAAATGTCTGCCGGAAACTTGCGACGACCTCCCATCCGCTTCAATGCATTCAAGAACGCCTTCGTTGATAAGTCCGAAACTACTTCAATGTGAACGGCCTTGGTGAGAAGGCAAACGAACACGGCCAAGTACGATTTTGTAGGCCCCTTTCCTCCAATCCGTAGATAGGTATTAATGGGTCCACAAAAATCCACTCCACAGTCGTAGCGAACACAGTGTACAAGTCTCGTGCCAAGTCTCTGGCGTTAACGATCCAGTATTCCAAACGAATGAGAGCGACTAAGGCCTTAGGTCCAGCGTGATAGCTGCGAATATGCAAGTGACGAATATAATTCCAAACAAGTTTAGACTGGTTAGGCAGCAGCAACGGATGTTTTTGACCGTCTGGTAGGTCTGAATATTCCAATCGTCCACAAACCTTGACGAGCTCGAATCCATTTACGAGTTCTAAAAGGGAGTAAGAAACTTCAAGCTACTCTTCAATGGTTTTTGCTTCTGAAGTAAACGAATATCTTCTGTGAAATGAGTTTGTTGAATGTTCTAAATAAGGCAGTGCGAAGCAAAACGAAGCTCATCTAGTGTCGGTGAGGATGTGGTAGGCGTCGATTGCTTCCGACATCTCCTTATGAACCTTACCATCCAGGCAATGAGACGAAGACTATGACTGTACGAGCTGACATACTTTTCCGCTTCTCTGAGTTGACCACGTCCATGTCAATGACAAGCTGTTTACTGCTGGTGGGCCATTTCAACGAATCTTCCAGCAGAAATAAGGGACCAGAACACCATGTCGATTTGATAAGCTCGCTAACGTTGCAGCCTCGCGACAGAAGATCAGCTGGATTTTGATATGTTGGTACGTAGCGCCACTTCAAACCAGACGTCATCTCCTGACTGTCAGAAACCCCAACAAAGGTCGAAAAAGTGATGGAGTGTTGTTGCAGCCAATGCAATACGAGCTGTGAGTCGCTCCAAAAATATGACGTGATGTTGTGTTCAGAGAATATATCCTTGATTTTGTAGAAAAGCTGAAACATCAAATGTGCGCCGCACAGTTCAAGCTTCGGAAGAGACTGTTTCTTTACTGGTGCTACTCTCGACTTAGACGTGAACAATTTCACTGCAACCTGTCCTAGCGAATTCTCAGTGCGCACATAAATACAGCAGCCGTATGCCCGAATCGAGGCGTCGCAAAACCCATGCAGTTGAATAGTCGGGCTGCAAACAAAACCGCGGTACCGATAGTGACGAGATAGAATTCAATGACTTCAAACAGTTGCTACATGAATTGCTTAGAGTCTGCGGAATAGACTCGTCCCAATCCAGTTTTAGCAGCCACAACTTCTGAAGAATAATCTTAGCGACGATGACTAGAGTCGACAGAAGACCGATTGGATCGAATAACGATGATGCAGTGGATAAGATTGTTCGTTTTGTGGTGGTGGCAAAGATTTCCTTGGGAGTGAAGGTAAAGCTAAATACATCAATTTGTTGATGCCAAGTTACTACTCTCATTCTCTAATGTGTTTAGTTCTTTAATAGAGTCATCTTCCATCACGCCTGGATGATTGGAATGCCATTTGCATAAGGGAAACTGACCATAAGCGGGGTAGCTGTGATTTCTGTTTTGAGTTTGAGAAGAGTTTCTATTTCATCAGCCCCTCCCAGAAGATCGTCAACATAAAACGCCTTTTTAATAGCGGCAGCTCCTAAGGGCCACTTATCCTTACAATCATCCGCCAAGTGATGCAAACTACGAGTTGCGTGGTAAAGGGCGGACGTGGTCCCAAATGTTACGGTATTGAGTTGAAAGGTTTGAAGCTTGGCATTTGGGGACGTTCGCCACAAAATATACTGGAATTTTCTATCCTTCTCCCCCACAAGCACCTGTCTACACATCTTAGTGACGTCAGCAGTGATGTCGAACCTATGCATGCGGAATCGTAGTAATTGCTGGTACAACTCATCCTGAATGGTCGGACCGACTAAAAGAAGATCGTTAAGTGACTTCTGCGATGTTGTACGGCAAGAAGCGTCAAATACGA